ACTAGTTACATGGCTTCACTGAGCTGCAGAGGGGCCATGAAAAGTAATCTCTGACCTTCAAAAAAGGAGGAAGTAAAAGGGGACTTGGTGGACACGTGGCATTGTGTGCCATGTGCTTAATCACTTTCCTTTAAGCGGAGCACACTCCTGATATATGGCTAAACAATTCCAAGGTGGAAAGAAATCATCCATTTCTATCCACTTGCCTGAACTCCCAGCAGAGGTTGGCATAAAAATGGTGCATTGTCAGGGCTTGTGGACTGAATAAATACATGAATAAATCAAATGAATGATCATCTCATTTTTCGCCTGGCTTTGGAAAGCACACACTCTGAGTCATATTTAATTCCTTCACTCCCAGGCTGAACCCTTTAAAAGATCCTAATTAGATTCTCAGAAGAAATAATACCCTTCAGACACACCAATGACAGGAGGTTGCCCGTGGAGCTGAACTCCAGGCTGAGGAAATGGAAGGAGAGGGTCTGTCCCTCCAGGAACTAGACAGAGATGAGGGGAGAGGCCGTGCCGGTTCACAGCGGGCACCGTGCCCGGTAAGAGTGCCCTTCAAGCATCAGCGCCCTGTTCTCTGCCAGTCTGACAAGGAAGAGGCAACACTTTTATGTGACTGTACTTTGTCTCTGATAAATTAAGCTCTGGAGGGTTCTGGGTTTGTTGACAAGGGAGTTTTACAACCAAAAGGGCTGTTTTATGGGCAATACGGGGAATTTCAGAACCATCTCTATGCTGCACTTTGGCAAAGCGCCAGCAAGGCTTCCCAGGAAAGCAAAAGATAACTTCTGTACTTGCCTGTTTGTTATTCTCCTGAGTGAATGTGCATGGTTTGTCACAGTATCATAAGGTCCCACGAGGGACCTCAGAATCATTCTAGAACAACCAGCTTAATTTGCAGATGAGGAAATTGGAGCCCAGACAGATTAAATTTAGCAACGTTTGAGATCTGTGGCTGGGCAGGCTGTGCACTGCACAACTTAGACGGTGCTGTTCACACAGACCCCATATGAGTGGCGCCTCCTGGAGGTGTGCGGTTTGATCACCCCACATGCTTCCATTGCGAAAGAAAAATGATCTCCTGTTGCTTTGAGTGAAAAATGTGTATAAATTTCAAGTACTTTGAACTGAGATGATTTAAAGATGACAGATGCTCAAATTTTCAAGAGTGTCTTGTTTTTGTTTTCTTTCTAAAAGTCAGTATTTCATTGCAGCTAAGAGCTCACACTCGGGAATCAAAGGAGAAGTGTAATTTGACCATTAACTAGCTGCGACCTTAGGCAAATCAATTTACCTCTCTAATATCAGGCTAATTCATTTATAATAGAATATACTATTATAACATAATATTACAATAATATAATATTATTAACATAATATTACAATAATATAATATTATAATATTATTAACATAACATTATCAGTAGGTTGGACAGGCTACCTACAAATTACCCATTCCACCCTACTTTCTTGCCTACTCTGAATTTTTTCCAGGTAGGAGTGGGCTCACCTTAGACTGTGGATCATGGTTGGTCACTAAGCCAATCAATCAGAAATGCTATTCCCTGCTCTCCCAGACTCCTTTGCAAGTAGGAGTATCCGTATGATCCTGTTTTGGCCAATGGGAGTGCTGCTTTCATTTGCAGTAGATTGGATTACACCTGAGCCCCTTCTTTTCCCTTAAGGAGTTGATAGGTCTTGGAGGCTGAGTCCAGGCGGGAAGAGAATCCATGAGCCAAGCTCTGAGTCAGAATCCAGAAACGCCCGCTCTCACTCCAGCTGTGCCAGTGGTCCCCTGGTGTGACCCTGGGCCAGCTGCTCTCCCTCTGGGGATCTCGGTTTTCTCATGCAAAGGGAAGGGGGTGGGATGGTGCCTGAGAGGTTACTGATTGATTGATGTGCCCGAGAAGACTCTTCAGGCTTCGTGCCAGGCCCACTGCCCAGCACTCTTTGAGCTCCTCTCTGAGGGGAGGGTGCCAGTCGGCTCCCTGAGAGTCCAGGACGCTCCCCGGACTACGCGTCACTAGTGGGAGGGGTTTCTGGGAGGCTATGGCTGCAGCTCTGCTCTGCCCGCCCCCACCCCGAGGCTCGGCGGGCTCCAAGATTTATATTCATGAGTTGGGGGGTGGGGATTAAGAAACTCGTTTTATTCTAGAGCTTAAAATAAGTGCTCTAGTCTAACTTTCTAACGGGAAATTTACACTGGTGATTATTAGGTCTGGCTTCAACTATTAATAAAGAAGTGTCTTGATTCCAATCTACTATTCCTTGCAAGTGGCTCCCTAAGGAACTTTGGTGAGGAGGGAGAGGAGAGGGGGAGGGGAGGGGAGGTGTAAGGAGCGAGATTCAGGCATTCCTGGATCCCTGGTCTAAACAGCATCTACAAGATGAGTAAAATTTCAACCCAAGCTAATTCCTACTAAACTTTTAAGAACTATTTCATTTTGTGCCATGTCACAGCCAGCTATAAGATCCTAAAATTCCACTACATTGATTAGGATCAACACTGACCCCAAATTCCTATCTTTCCGACGATTTCTGGCTTCCAGAGACCCAAATACCATCGGTGGTTCCAAGCGGACAGCAGTGTGTGTGTTGGGGACGGGGCAGGGGTTACCTTCTCATCCCTCAGTTTCCATCAGCCCACCACTCTTTACTATAGGCAGCCAACATTTTATTTTCTTAATCTGATGTGCTATTAAACATTCTCATCTTCAAGTCCTTCCTACCAGAGTCCCAACGCTTCTCCTTGTATAAAAATTCTGGGTGGGGCTACCTCTGCTGAGTAGCGTCCGCAGATTCACACTTCCTAAAGTAGACGAGTAAGTTCCAATCAGAAAGACTACTTTTCTGAGAAAGAAACTGAGTCCTGGATCTGGCTTCCAGCAGCTCTGGGAGTTTAGCTCTGCAACCAGGGACCCCGGGCATTGTCAAGCCTTTGAAAGTGGAACAGGCCATTGTTGAAAACACAGGCAGAGGTGGTAAATTGGCCTTATGCAATGTATTCTGGTTCCTTCCCCCTAGGCAGGACTTAAAGGAGGGAAAAAAAGGAAGTAGGCTACTTGACAGAAACTCCAATGAGTGGGATAAGAACTCAGTCAATACCGTTCCTGGCAGTTTACTGTGCCAAGCTCTGTGGTCAGTGCTCAGGAAACAGAGAGGTGCAAAAGGTGCAGTTTTCACCCTTTGGGGACCTGGTGGCCTAGGGATGATGCAGACACAGACCCCATCTGTATAATGTGATGCTCCTTCCTTACTTGATCTTGGTCACTTTGTCTCAACAGTCCACAGCCTCACCCTGACCCAGCCTGCTCCTCTTCTGTGGTGCTCCAGTCCCAGGCCTTGGGCCTGAATGGCTGGGAAAGCTCTGGTGGCTGGGGAAGAGAGCCAGCAATAGTTCATGGTCAAAGTCTGTGGCCTCTCAAAGCTAATTTTTTACTAAAGTTTTTATACAGCCTCAAATTGTTTTATTAAAAAAAACCATTAATATAATGAAAAAGAATATGAAAATGAATACATGCATGTATATGCATGATTGAACTATTATGCTGTGCACCAGAAATTGACACGTTATAAACTGACTATACTTCAACATAAAAAATTACACAAGTAAAAATAAGATTAAAAATGGTGATGCTTACAGCCAAAAAAAGAAAAGAAAAGAAACCATACATCTTGTAAACAACAGGGGTCCTTGGGCAAAGAAAAGCAGGAACTGACAGGAAATCACACATTTGGGGGTGACAAGGATCCCAGAAGCAGACGAAGAAAGGTGGGAAAGGGCAGGAATCTCTGGCATGTGAATGTAACCTTTTGCTCGTTATGCTCTCATTACAATAAAATTAGCCTTGCAGATTAGAAGTCCCCATCACACACCAAGGCCATGACACCTCTGATCAAGGCTACATAAGGACAAAAATCCCTCCTCCCCTCAGGAACGTGGAGCTGGGATGAAAATCAGGAAATATGACCCTAAGCCCCTCCCTCCCCAATGAATATTCTGTCCATTAATTTTTATACCCCATATAACCAGCTTGCCAAGGACACTCAGGGCAGCTACTCACCTGAGTCTGCCTATTCTCCCCTTGAGAGTGTCCTATTGCTTAATAAATCTTCACTTTGCTTTCTAGACCTCCATGTCTCATCTGTCTCCGAATTCTTTCTGTGATGAGACAAGAATCTACTCTCCAGTAACATAATGAGGGTAATAATTCTTACTCAGGGTGTTGTGTCAGCATCAAATGGTATAATTCAGGTTAAGCACAGAGTAAGTGATAAATAAATGGTAGCTTTCCCTGGGATAGGCTGTGAAGAACGACTTTAGAATTCTGAAGTTAGTGCTATGGGCATTCAAGGAAGGCTTCACAGAGATGGAGACCTTTGAGCTGTCAGGCGGAAGGGGAAGAAGTACAGGGCAGGGAGACAGCAGGAACAGATGCCTTACAAGTGGCAGATGCTGGGCATAATTGTTCTTGGGTCAAGATTCAGTGTGACTTGGGGTTGGCAGAGGCTCAGCTCTTTCTGCTCCTTCTGTTTCCGACTCACTCCTGCTGTCATTGTTCTCTGGAAGGGACACGTGTAGGGGATCTGCCTTGCCCCAAACACTAGCTGGATGTGGCCAGTCGACACTGGCAGTGTGCCTAGTGCCACGTGTTGAAATGTCAATATCTTGGATGTTCTAGGTTAAAGGCGATGTAATCTACCTTTCTCCAGCCACCTCGACTGCAGCGCCGTGACAAGCAGGTTTCTCTAAGAGAACCACAGTGTCTCTAGGCTGTGTCATGGAAAGCTGGATACCACCTCCAGTTCTCCCAGATCCCCCAAAACCTGTCTGGAGACCTCTACTACTCACTTTGCTACTTCCTCCAGGAAGTAAGGACTGAGGACTCTCAAATCTAACCTCTTACCTCACTTTCTCTCTCTGTCCCCTCCTCCTCCCAGTCAAGTCCACTTCCTCATTATGTCTGGTAGGAATCGTCTCTCATCATTACCTCATAATTGTTTTCTTCCTGCTCAGTTCCCAAGGTGTGGCCCCCAGACCACCAGCAGCAGAGTCACCTAGGAACCTGTAAAAAAAAACAAAGTCTAAATTATTAGGACCCATCCTCAAATCTTCTGAATCAGAAACTCTGGGGATGGGGCCCAGCCATCTATATTTAGTAAGCTGGCAATTTGGACTGGTTTAATGGATGGGGCATCATACGCATCTGGCGCAAGGTCCCAGAGCGACACCTCACCATGTCTGGCAGACATGGCAGCAGGCTTCTCTACCAGGGGGACTGGGGGTTACCAGTTATAAAGGGGATTGATGTCAGGTTGTCTCATCCATTACCAAGGAGAGCAGCACAGGGGCCCGCCCCTTTGATAAACTATCATAGTGGAGATAGTTCTGATCTAAAGATTAGAATAATCACAATCTGGGGCCAGGCATTTCCTGATTCGGCTCTCTGATTAAGAGGGAAGGTCAGTCATGTGAGTAGGGTGCAGGTGAAGCAGGACTGGTCGCAGGGAATGTACTGAGAGCAAGAGAATGGCCACCTGGGGCGGCCTGATCATACACCCGCATACAAGGGGTACTAGCTTGTGTGTCAGATGCCATCCTTTCTGAGACTGTGATGGGGCATCTGATCTCATCAGGGAGGTCTGTGGTTATGGTGGTCAGGAAGGCAAAATGTGGTCCCCCAGACAGTGAAGTCAGACCAGCCACAAAGAAGAGCCACCGTTAACTGTGGACAGCCAGTGTGGACTTCAAGAGCACAGGTCTAAAAGCTGCTCGCCGAGAAGTGCCTTCCTGGTTATATTCAGATCCACCCTGGTCAGGGACAGCAAGCTTTTTCCCTTCTTAAAGCCAACACTGTGTAAAGACACTAATATTCATTTTTCCCTGAGCCCTGAAAATTATGTATGTAGATGGTCCTGCATGAGTAAAAGGCTGAGGGGTGGAAGGAACTCAAGTGGACACTGAACTGCCTACTGTTGACCTTAAATTATTAAAAGAGCAAGTTATTTTACCAGCAAAATGAGTTTATTTGGGAAGTGCAAAGGACTGTGACTGGGGACACGCAATCTGTGGTGAACCACAGGCACATCCAGAGAACAAAGGAAGGGATAAGGGGGGAGCTGGGAGGGGCTGTTCTAAAGGACAGTTCACTGGAGGAAAGTAGGAGTTCAGGGTGGTGATGGCTTCTCATTAGCTGAGCAGTTTCTCATTGGCTGGGCTGTTGCTGAGTAAGGAGAAATTCTTCCTTGGGGACAGTCAAGTAAATGCACTTCCTGTTTGGGAGCGCAAAGTATCTTCTTCCTGTGGGGCATGCATTTGACATGGAGTAGCAGGGCATGAGAGCGCCCCCTGCTGGCCCCTCTATTTTATTTTATTTTAAACGAGGTTTTTCCACTGCCCAGGATGGGGGAGATAATCCAGTGACCACCACCTGTGGACCACAGGCTATCCTAGAATGCTCAAGTCCCCTTGAATGGAGTGAGAGGACTTGGATGTGCATGGGGCTAGCTTTAAGAAGGGAAAATCTTGCTGCCCCTGATCAAGGCGGATCTGAATATAACCAAGAAGGCACTTTCCGAGGAGCAGCTGTTAGACCTTTGCTCTTTGAAGTCCACACTGGCTGTCTTTGCCCATAGGACATCTTGCCCTCTGTTAGGACTTCTCAGCTCATG